GCCCATGTGAAATGTGCCAACCATCTCAGCAAGGGGCTCAGGTAAAGCATGAAAATCTTATGTAAAAAAGGAAACTAAAAGTGAACAACAGCCACGTTTTTAAAGGTTTTTCCCAGTCAGTGAGGGAAGGTGGGACCTGACCTCACAAGGAGTTAACACCCCTGGTCTAATGGAAAATGGGAATTTCTGCATTTGCCTTGAGGTCTGACAGCAAGGGCACTGGTTTCACATCTCATTCAGAATGGGACCCTCAACTGATGTATATGAAAAACAGAAATGAAAATGTATTTATCTGTGTTGCAGTAAACATGAAAGGAAAAGAAAAAAATTTTAAAAGATCTGACAAGTTCATGTGGATGCTCTGCATTTAGTTCTTGTTTTAGAGCAACAGTCTGTTCTGTTGGCTCCTCTACGATTTAATGATTTCCTGTTAAGAATTTAAAATTAGAAGCCTCCAACAAGTTCCCCATAAACTATTTTCAAGGTTCCTTTAATATCCACATCAAGGAGATATAGGAGGTTCATATGTTATCCATGGCAGTTCGCTTCCTTCCCACTTCAAAATAAGCATATTGTAAGGAAATTCAGCAGGTTTTTATTGTTTTCTTGGAACCTCTTTTTCCACTAACTATGCCCAGCTACAGTAATTTAAAAAATAAAGCTGTCCACATAAACCAGCTCACATTTAACCCATGACAAAACAAGAACTGCTGGTCCAATCTGAAAACCCTAAACTGTGTCAGATAAGGATCCAGATCTTAATTTCCCATTGATGAGTTAGCTCAAATTTTCAACTCCATCCATACTGAACTTCCTCTTTGTTACCACATGAATTTTACAAACAGCTTTTTGCTCTCTGACAAGTATCTTACCTTTGAAGAAAGCCTGCAAACAACATTTTTTCACTGGCAGCACATTAAATAGATTCCATCTTTTTCATCCAGGCTTTCCAGAACCATATTCCTGTTAAAGAAAAACACATAGTACTCCTTTATTTACTAAATCATTTGAGACAGGCGTTAAAGGCAGAGCACCTGCAGGCCTCCCCTCTCAGTTCCCCCCTGGGTCAGTGAGAGGGCTCCAAACACAAAGCACCACTTCCCTGACAGAAATCACCTCCCAAATGCACCCACCAGAGGTGCTCCTGATGAGAGCTCTCCCTCATTGGTTTCAGTTACAAATGAGTCAGGTGAAGCTGCAGGTGACTTGGCCTGGCCTGAGGTCACAGCAGTGACAACAGCAGCAGTAGGAGAGACAGCTCTGTTGCTTCCTGCATGGGCTTTAATGAACACACAGCTCCTAATTTGGCTGAAACAGAAATCTATGGGTACAACAGGAAAAAAAAAAAAACACCCCAAACTCCTATTTTCAGTTTGAAGCTCAGTTACAGAGTTAAAAATTGTCAGATAAAGACAACACTGCTACTTTCTACAGTAATTTTCAGACCAGATTGATTTGTTAGTGACCCATCCAGATCTGGGGAGGAATCATGGAATGGTTTGGGTTGGAAGGGACCTTAAAGCTCCTCTCATTCTCACCCCTGCCATGGGCAGGGACACCTTCCACTGGCCCAGGCTGCTCCAGTCCCTTCCAACTGGGTCTCGAGCACTTCCAGGGATCCAGGGGCAGCCCCAGCTGCTCTGGGCAGCCTGTGTCACCCTCCCAAGGAGGAATTTCTCCCTAAAATCGAGTCTGAATCCATGCTGTCAGTGTGAAGCCACTCCCTGTGCCCTGTGGAAAGGGTTCCTCTCCCTCTCAGGCACCTCCAGGTGCTGGAAGGCTGAAGCTGGAGCTTCTCTTTGCCAGGCTGAGCAATCCCAACTCTCAGCCCTTCATGGGAACAGCCTCTTCCAGCAGAAGAGAGCTTCAGCAACTCACTGGTGCCCAGAAATAGTAACTCAGTACCAATATCTGGTTGGGATTTGGGATTTTTAAGAGTTTTGAGCTTCTTGGGGGGGGGCAGAACATCACCAGGCTCCCCTCCCTCTCCCCTGAACTCACACAGCCACGGCTGCAGATGTAAAATCTCTTCCATACAGGGAGCTCTGACAGCCCCAGAGGCTGTTTGATCTCTGAGGGCAGTTTAGTTTTTTCTTTTTTTTACAATAACCACCATTAGGTTTTCTTTCTACATTCACCCCTCGTGATCCTTGGCTGCACCCCCTTCCCCTGCAGGGACACCCAGATGTCCCACACTCCACTCTGTGCATGTGAGGGGCTCAGGCACCCAGCTGCATCTTCAAAAAGCTCAGATTGCAGCAGCCAGGCCGACTGAGGGCTTTTCCCCAAACAACATCCATCCCCTCTCTGCTCCCAGGCACTGGCAGGCTGTGGAAAAGCCCTTTTTAATTTTCCTATTTCTCCATATAAAAAAAAAAAAAAAAGACAAAAGGAAAGAGAAAGATACCAACAAAGATAAGAGTATCCATCAGAAGTTCTGCCAGCAAGCACTGGAAGGGTTTTCCAACATCTGCAATGATTAATGAGTGATTGCATTAAAATAATTTACGGATGTGAGAAACACATTATTGAATGGAGTTGTTTTGTTACTAAGCTCCCAATATGGTTTAAGGGAAAAAAAAAAAGGAATTAAACAAACATTACAAGCAAGGAGGAACCAATTATTCAATGAAACAGTCTGCTGTAAGTCAGCTTTTCTGCTGAATATGTTATTTTGATGCTTACCTACTATCTCAACACAGTGACTGAGGACTCCACCAACTCCCTGTAACACCTTTAACAACAAAACACTGTTTATGATAGAAGAGCATTAAATTGTTCAAGATACCAATATATGAAACCATACAGTGTTACTAAAAAACAAGTACTTGTATATTCAAATTCTATCCCCACGTAGAGATTAAATTGCTTTTGTCATGAAGATTATTTTTCAGGCTCCACCAAAATAAGTTACAGACTGAATATATAACACACACCAGAGAGGTTTTATATAACATTCTTCCTTCATAGATACATTTATTTCTTTTTCTGAATAGGCAGACTCCAGGTTTGTCTACAAAAAAATTGCCAGGCAGTGGAAGGTGCAGCCTGGCTCATTTTTCACAACACAGTAATTTATCAAGAAAATAAAGTCCACTACCACAGTGCTTGAGAAGTACACTTACCATCACTGCTTTTTTTAAGAAAACTTACTAGATACTTTAATTCAAAGTAGAATAAAGAGCATCATAAAGTAAAAAAATTATCTTTTTTGATACATTATCAATACTTTTTCCTTCATGCATTAAAAACCAAACAGCTCTTTCCTGCCTTTAACAGACCTCCGACCTTCCCAAACCCAGGCTCTGAAAATAACTAAAATAACTGAGCTAAATAGCCTCGACCCCCGGGGTGGGGCTAATTGCCAACAGGATCCCCTCAGCTGCATTCCCTCAGGTGAAATAAATAAATCCTCATCAATTCAGAAAATAAAAGAAAAACCTGAAGCCACTAAAAGGAAAAGCAAAAACAAACAAAAAAAAAGGACAAAACAATCTTCCATGGTGTGTTTGCGCCACATTCCTTTCTTCCCACCCCATAACACTTCTTTGTGCAAGTAAAGGACAAAGAATAATGCCCTCTCACAAAAACGGGAGGAATAGCAACAACTTGGGTTTTAAAAATAATGTGCCCAAAGCAAAACAGCAGGAGCTCTGCCTCCTATAACTTTTTAAAATTAAAAAGATCAGTAGCAGTCCTATGTTAGCTAAGAAAACACAAGTGACAGAAATTTCATATATTATGTGAAATATTGCAATAATGAAATTTCTTTCGTAGTTATGATTATTACGTCCTGTAACAGCAAACTCCAGGTGCCCAAATAATGCTCACATGAGCTGCCAACACACCTGGAGGTCATAGAAAGCCCAATATTAGCTGGGTGTTAGCACAGGTGAGCTGTAAATGATATTTACGCTCTGTGAGAAGTTTGGGCTGGGTGGGGCTCAGGGTGTGAGGGTGATATTTGATTTTTGCTGCTCAGCCCCAAAAGATAAAGCCCCACTTCACTCTCCATGGCTGCCTGCAGGGATTCACAGAATCCAAAGGTTTGGAAGGAGTTTTAAAGCCCAGCCAGTCCAAGGCAGGGCCGGCGGCAGCAGGAATGTGTCCAGGTGGGTTTGGGATGTCTCCAGAGAGGGAGATTCCATTTGATCCCAGGGCTTTACCTCCCTCACGCAAAGTTCATCCTCGCGTAGGGGTGGAACTTGTGTTTTAGCTCATGGCCACTGCTCCTCGTCCTGGCGCTGGGCATCACCGGAGAGAGTCTGGCACCATCCTCTGACAGCTCTGAGAGCTTCATCACGCCTTAACGAGATCCCCTCTGTGTCTTCTCCAGACTAACCAGGCCCAGCTGCCGCAGCTTCTCCTCATCAGGGAGCTGCTCCAGACCCTCCATAAAACCCCACCCCACAGCGCTACCCTGCTTCCCCCCAAGTCTGTTCCCTCATGCCTCCCTCACCATGCCCTGGTACCATGCCCTGGTACCGCCGCTGCTGTCTGGGTAGGGCTGTGGGATGTGAGGGGGAGCAGGCAGGGAGCTGAGAGCCCCGGGGCGAGATGGAGAGCGAGCGGCCAGGGGGACCAGAGCCGCAGGGCGTGAGGCAGAGCGGGCAGGGCTGTGGAGCTGCGGGAGCCCCGCGAGGCGGAGCGGGCAGGGCTGTGGAGCTGCGGGAGCCCCGCGAGGCGGAGCGGGCAGGGCTGTGGAGCTGCGGGAGCCCCGCGAGGCGGAGCGGGCAGGGCTGCAGGAGCTACGGGAGCTCCGCGAGGCGGAGCGGGCAGAGCTGCGAGGCGGGCAGGGCTGCGGGAGCCCCGCGAGGCGGAGCGGGCAGAGCTGCGAGGCGGGCAGGGCTGCGGGAGCCCCGCGAGGCGGAGCGGGCAGAGCCGCGGGGCGCGAGGCGGAGCGGGCAGGCGGCGGGAGCCCCGTGAGGTGGAGCGGGCGGGAGGCGGCGGGGCGGAGGGAGGGAGGGAGGGAGGGGGGAAGGCGGCTCCGCACAGCCAAGATGGCGGCGGTGGAGCTGGAGTGGGTGCCCGAGACGCTCTACAACACGGCCATCTCGGCCGTCGTGGACAGCTACGGGCGGGCGCGGCGCCGCGACATCCGCTCGCTGCCCGAGAACATCCAGTTCGACGTGTACTATAAGGTACGGCGGCGGCCGAGCGGGGCCGGGCCCGGCTGGGCCTGTGGGACGTGGAAGGAGAAGCGGCCCGGGGGGCGGCCCGGGCCTGGCCTGGCCGGGGGCGCGGGGCTGAGGGGTCTCGCCGGGGCCGGGCACGGCCCGAAGGACGGGCCGGCGTCTCAGGGGCTGTGGGGCCGCCCGAGCTGCGGCTGGAGGAGCGGCGGCTCCGGGCTCCGGCCGTGCTGGGGCCTTGTGGCTGCCCCCGGGAGCCGCCCCGAGGCCGCGGTGAGGGGCTGGGAGCCCCCGAGGGGGACGCGGAGACGGGGCCTGGCCTGGGGGGTCGTGTGGGGAAGGTGCCTCTCGCCATTGGGGAGCGGTGCGGGCAGGATGAAGCCAAGCTGGCTGTGCTGGAATATGTTTTTTCCTTTTCTCCTTTTTTTTTTTTGTAATAATGAATTGGACGTGATGATGTCAGTGGTTGAGGGAGCAGTTTGCTGTGGTCGAGTATAAATGAGCTGGTAGGAACCAGATGGAAAGAACTGACAGTTGTTTAATGCTGTAGTTTTATTAGCATTAAATTATTCCTTGGTGAAAGGGCTGTTCCTCGTTCAGCTGCCCCTGGAATATATGGATTTGATGTAAAAGGTGCACTGAGATGGTCCATTAATTTCTTATTGTCCACTAAACAGGCATTTCATTCATGTGCAGGAACAGCTGGAAATGAGCATTCATCAGGGGAGAAACAATGTCTATAAAAACCTGAGATGAGGAATAACCCTCCTTTCCTCTGCCAGCAAATTTCTAAAAATGTAGGAATTCTTAAATGAAGTAAATCTTTAGTCTAATCTTTATGAACCAGAGGTAATGACCTATCACATACATGGAGAACAGCAGCATTTACTGGAGACAGGGAAATTGCTCTCAAGCATTGAAACAGACATGGACATTTTCTGTGTCCTGGTTATTTCATGTCTGCCTTAGGTGCTAAGAAGGATGGAAACCCATTTTTCTGACATATGAGCATGCTCACAGGTAATGATGTGATTGACACATCAGCTAAAGGCTGGAGATATGAAAATCACAATGTGGAAGAATATCTGGGGGGTGACTTTCAGCTGTTAATGACAAATAAACTTCTTTGGCATTGCCTGTTCTCATGTTCATCCAGGTGAGAGGATGGTGCTCTGTGGTTTTTAGAAGCATGAAACAAAACCTCCTTCTGATGATAGAAGTGTGCAAGGATGTGTAATTCCCAGCTGTTTAAAAACTTATCTGTAGGTGAGCTTAATAGATCACTGACTTTTTATGCTTTTATTAGCACTCTTCAGTGGTTGCTTTGGATCAGGTTCACGTGGAGTTGTTCCATGCTGAAGAGGATCCAGCAGCACACCTGATTTCTGAGGAGACTCTAGCCTGTTTCTTCTGCTGGGGTACCTGGCTCTGTCATCTTGCTGAGCAGATGGTGATAGAGGTGATAAGTGCCTGTCCCCAGAATGGTGTTTGTGTTAGAGGGACAAATGTTCATGGCAGCAAATGCCTGGAATCCCAGGCTGGTTTGGGTTGGAGGGGACCTTTCTGCCCATCTCATTCCACTCCTGCCATGGCAGGGACACCTCTCACTGTCCCAGGTGCTCCCAGCCCTGTCCAGCCTGGCCTTGGGCACTGCCAGGGATCCAGGGGCAGCCCCAGCTGCTCTGGGCACCTGTGCCAGGGCCTGCCCACCTCAGACACCTTTTTCTAATCTAAACCTGTTCTCTGGCAATTTGAAGCTTTTCCCCCTTGCTTTTCCTGTAATTTCTGTGCTTCACAACAGGAGTTCTTGTCCTGGGTAAGGAGCACTGATATTCCTCTTACCAACCCTCATCCATGGGGTGTCCTCACACAGAATAAACCAAACTGGGCCATGCCTGCAGTGAGAGTGGGCTGGGCTTCCCTGTCCTCAGTGTCACCTTTGCTGTGGAGGACAAGGAGCTGGGCTGGGGCCTGCAGTGCCCTGCTCTGGAGAATGGGGTCCCTGCCCTGGGCAGGCTGCCCCTGCTCCAGTGCCCCTTCCCTCCCAAACCCTCCTGTGAGTCTCTGTGCACCCACAGAGCTATTGGTGGCTGGCTCTTGGCTCTGTATTTGGACACAGCAGCATCAGAAGTGTCATCTGGGGTGGCTGAAGGAGGTCAGGCTGGGGACAGCGTCCCTCTCCCAGTGTGTGTGCTGCTGCTTTGGCTCTGGGTAGTTATTTGGAATATCAGGTGGATGTTGAATCCCAGTTCATCATGGTGAGCCATGTCCCATATGTCCTGGTCACTGAGTTCTTTAAAGCAGAATTCCCAAAGCTATTAACAGTCTCTGGAGTGAGACAGACTAGAAAATTTGTGAATATTTCTTTGACTGCATGGTGTTTGTTGCTGCTGTGTTGGAGGGTGTCAATTGGCTGTTAGTATCCTGTGTTACTTGCATTCTGTGATGAGTAAAAGGAATAAAAAATGTTTCCAATATTTCACATAACTTGTAAGTAATAGTTTTTTATCTGGGTATTAGTCATGGTTTGTGGTACTTGAGAAACTGCCACTGATTTTTGCAAAAAAAATAAAAGGTGGTACCAGTCAGATTTTGTTTTGAGCTGTGGATGTAAATTGTCTGTGGCTATACAAAAACGTTTCCATCATATTCATTGCTATTAATGCTTAACATTTGCCAGGCTTGCCCAGGGTTACCAGCATGTCCAGGTTGATGCAGAAGCTGCAGGTGAGGTCCCCCAGCATGGACACTCAGTGTGCTGATATTGAAAAGGGGAAAATGCCAGCAGTGTCCTGGTGCTGTTCCCCAGGGCACCCCAAAGTCCAGGCTTGGCTCTGTTGTCAGAGCTCCCTGCCTTTATTTGCCCCTCCTTAGCAAATCCACTTTGTTTCACCTCTCCAGCTTCTGGAACTGCTGACTCCTGGGCCAGGCCTTCCAGACCCGAGTGGGGAATGGGGCTGGGGTAGCTGCAGGATGTTCTTGTGCCTTTGGTAAGGGTGGCTTCTGCTGCAAGGTGACAGAACAGGCAGGCTCCTCATACTGAGCATGTTTATCTTTCTGGAGCATTCTCAAACAGTGACTGGAGCTCAAAACAAGGCACTATCAAATAATCATGATTGTGGTAGAACAACAAACCTGCTCTGCTTCAGCAGGGTATCCCTGCAGATCTCTTTTTTTTCAAGCACTGTTTGACTTTTCCTTGCAACCATTAGAAAATTAAGAGGCAGAACAGGATGCTTGTGAGGATATCCTGGAAATTTCCAAGCCTACATTTGAGCTACAAAATATTTAAAAGTTGTATTAATGACAGCTGTATTTTGAGGTGCTTAATAACCAGTTTTGTTACAAGTAACACCTGCCTCTGGGGGGGGAAATAAAAATGTGCACACATATCATACATTGTTTCCTTTGGTTGTTTGCCAGGTTTGTGTGTGTCCTGGTTGGGTTTTTTCCTAGTTGAACTAGTTAGATTCTCTTGCTTAATTTTTTTTGGGGGGAGGATGAGAGAGAGGGTGTGTAGGTTTTAGAAGCCAAGGAAAGAAATATGCTGGATCTCACATAACTCAGACTCAGCATTTGAACAAAATGCCAAAGTTGTGTATTAAAAAGTAGTGACAGCTGGAGTAAACTGCAAGTCAAAAAAACCCAAACAAACCCAAAACAAAAGAACCCAATCAACCAAAAAAAAACCACATTGAAATCTCTGAAAAAGTTGACTTATTATATTCTGTGGTTTGTTGGGGTGAGGATAATGTTTTGAGGGAGGGTGTTCCCATAAAGAATCAAGGTTGTTGGCAGAAGTCAGGTTTTGAGCTCTCTGGTCAGTGTCTGGTACAGATTTCATTTTTCCCCTTGTGCCTCTGCTTTATTCTCCTTGTTTTGCATTGTGATCTTGTGGCTTTGGTTCTCAAGGGGCTTTGCTGCTTTAGTGTTCTCTGTCCCAGGTCTTTGTTGGAGTTGCCCAGTGCCAGCCTCATCTTGGGCTTGGACTGGTTAGCAAGGAGTTTCATCCCATGCTCATTTTCCTTTTGGAATGGCTTTTCTGGATTGTGTGTTTCTCTTTCCTTCCAATTGATTTTTCTTGAAAATAATTTGTTCTTGGAACATTTTCTGGTGAGCTCATTAACCACAGGAGCAGTTGGAGATGGCATTAATTTGGTTTCTGTCACGTTTAGGTGTTCTTTGAACCAAAGACAATGAACAAGCAGGAATTTGCTGACTGTTACCAACAAGCAGCAGAACGTTGGTTCCCTGCATTGCAGCAGAGGTTGAGTTCCCTGATGGGGAATCATGGCAAGCACCATTCCTGTCCATTAGAACATAGCAAACTTTGGTCTCCAGGGCTCTGATGAGAGGGAGAAGGATGAACCCCCCTGAAACGAAGAGTGGCTGTGCTGCTGCTTCAGTTCTGAGCTTCTCTGTCTGGGGGAGTACAGGCAAGGTCACAGCACAGAGTGAGGGAGGCAGAGCATCCCAGAGCCCTCTGAGGCTTCTGCTCTGCCCCCAGGGTGAGCTCACAGGGCCTGAACTGCCCTGGTGCTGCTGTGCTTGGGGTAGGAGTTCAGGGTGTGTGTGTGGGAAGCTGTGATGGTTTCTGCAGCCCCTCTGTCACCTGGCAGGAGCAGGGGGTGCAGCAGGGCTGCACTGCTGGCCTTCAGTCAGATCCCTCCAGCACCTCTTCAATTAAAGCCTCTCACTGAAGGAGAATCATTACCTCATGAGTTTTTGCCAGTTATTATTATTAACACATGCCTTATTTCTGCAGTCTAAATTTAGATGTGAACTGAACTGTGCTTCCTTATGGCTTTACTGGTTTGAAACTTCTTGCATTTGAACTTGTACTACTCAGGCTGCTTTTTGTTAACCTCCAGCTATGGGGCACATTTCCCCATCCTGGTATCCCCCTACCTTTTCAGTAACCTTGGTGAGTCTGAGCCACCAGAACTCCTCAGAACTGAGATAATGAGGTCACATCATGAACAGAGGTGTTGGGCTCCTGCTGAACAACAATTCCCATTTCCACTTCATTTCCTCTGGGCTGATTGAGCTCTGGGCAGGCTGGGATTTCCCAGTTCCTGAGGAGAATCACACGAGTGTGAGGCTCAGCTTTTGTCTCCTTGTGCAACACCAGCTCTGCTGCCCTGGCCCAGAGAGGAGGGCAGTGGGAATGCTGGGGTGTGCAAGCACTGAGCTCTAGAAATGTCTCTGAATTCATACCAGTTCAGTGGCATTGGTTTTTTCTTGGTTATTTATTTGATTGGGGTTTGTACAGATCAGCCTGGTAATTGGCACTGTGCTTTCCAAGGAGAGCTGGGATTTTATTTTTTTTTTATGCCTTGAACAATATCCAGGAGAAGCTTGTCCAGAGGGTTTGTAGATGATTTTGAAATTGGTTTAAAAGCATGGAATGTCTCTAAATTTTGAACTGATTGTTTTTGGTGATGAGTCTTTGTCCACAGATTGGTTCAGTGAACTGTTGACTCAGGACAATCTTTTCCCTCCTTGCTGAGTGGGGAAGGAAGATGGTGGTTTCAGCCCAATATTTTTCCCAAATTCTGCTGTCTGTCAAGCACTCTGTGCTTCCCCAGTCTGGCCTGGTACTCCATGACATTATTAGGCATTACAAAACATCCTGGGGAGCTTCTTGGATTTCCTCTGTAATTCTTCCTGAAACATCCATGTTTATCAATCCTCTGCCAAACTGGAGCATCAGGAGCATATTTTTCAAGTTGCATCTTCTTCAGTTCCTTTTCTGGAGGATCCTTGTACAGCTGGCTGGAATTAACCCCCATCCGCTTTAAAAAAATTATTTAAAAATATTTTTATTATGTTTAGAGAAAGTTTGGTTGTTTGTTTTTTTTAGCTTAGTCTTCCCAGAGGGAGAAAGACAAGAACTTTACTAGAAAGATGATGTAAGAATAAAGTTACAAGTTAATGTCATTAATGTGTTCAGCTGGGGACACCACAATGTGCAGCTTTTGTCACACACCCACTGGACATGCAATCCAACATTCAGCCTTGGCTCCTCTGAAGGGCTGTGGGGAGTTTCTCACAGCTGTGCACAACAGCTGGGCTGGGCAGTGTAATAATCCACCTGTATATTGAATTTCTGCCTCTCCTCAGTGCCAGAGCTCAGGTGTGAGCTGATGGAGTTGGGAGTCACCTTGCAGGCTTTGAGTCACTTTTCCATAGTTCAAGAAGAATAAATCCTGGTGGGTTCCAGATAGGTTAAGCTGGTGTCTAAAAGACATTTCTCTGTTCAGAACAGGATAGTTCTTTAGGAGTCCAAAGCTCTGGGCTCATGTCAGGGCATGTTTTTCCTGAATCACTTTTGTTTAGTTTTCATGTTATGTAGCAAGGCTGTGGTCAGGAATTCTGTCTCTGGAGCTTTAACAAGAGAATCATTTCTTCAGTCCTCCCAACTGCTTCTCAATGAGTGTTACTGGATCTCCTGGAATTACTTCACAGTTTGACGTATACTCACTATTTCCATGTCAAACTTCGTTTGAAAATATTGCCCTGACAGCCACAACAGTTCCAAGAGGCTTCCAGCTGAGTTGATTCCTCCAAATGTTTGCCAGTATGTCGAGGGAAGGGGTTACAGGGACAGGGAAAGTCCCAAAGATGTTGTATTTCAAGTTAGAGCAGTGAAAAATTGCAGCTTGGGCTTTGGGGCCCGAGCCAAACTTGACGTGTCCCTGAAATGGTTGATGCTCCAAAACTGAGGGTCCTGTGGGACCTTCCCCCTCCCTGCCATCCCACCAGGCCATTTACTCCTCAGGATCCCCTGGAAGGGGGATTCTCTCCTTACAAGAAGTGTTTATGTAACCTCATAGATGTATAAATTTTTCAGGGTCTTACTGTGGTTAATTTTTGATAAACCAGGAATCTCTGGGATTCTGGGTGGGTACTGCAAGGTGATAGGAGGGGGTGGTGATTCTGTACTCAGTACTGTGAAACCTGATGCTGGTTTTGGCTGCCTTAAATCCTGCTGCAGTGCTTTGGGGATGTGTCTAAGCTTCCTCCAGAAACCATCCCATCAATTATTGATGGCATGCCCACCTTCACTTTGAGCATGGAATACCAGACAATTTAAACAGCTGCTTTTGGGGGGTTTTTACTGCAGAATGCACATTGTAGCTTTTATAGAGCATTTGCTATGAGACAGCTGTGCTGAAGGAATGAGAACATTTAACCATGGCTGTGGCTTTTAACTACAGCAGCCTGGCTGTTCCCTCAGTGCCAGAGAGAATCCAGCAGGAGCTGGATCCCTTTGAAGTGCAGGGACACGCTGCTTTATCTGAGCACTAACTTTGCATGCTAACTTGCTCTGGTTTTTAAAAGACTTCCTCTTTTTTTTTATGTTCCCTCAGCAAAATAGATAACCAAGAGGAAAACATTCATTTCTGGCAATTGACATTATTAGGTCAAAGTATTTTTGAAGTTTTTTTGTAGGTTGTGCTGTTAAAATAACAGATTTGCTGTGCTCTAGAGCCAGTGTTGTGTGCTTTTATAAGAGTTGACTGGAACTAAATTTCTGGCTGGAGATGTTCTCACGTGCTGTGTTTGGAATATTAATTCATCAGCTCCCAGTGTTTCTGGAGAAAAAGGTGAAGCAGGCACCAGATGCTTATCACTGGAAGCATTTGAAGGCATTATTAAAGCTGGGAGGAATATGAATATTTTCATTAAAGCACTGCTGGTGCCTGTGGCAGGTGTGCAGTGCTGCTTCCTTGGGTCATGTACCCTCCAGTGCTCATCTGTGGGCCAGGGCCTTTCAGATAATGGGGATGAATGGTTCACAATGGATGGCTCTGACATTTATTTGCACAGTCCCTTTGTACCTGTGTAAATCCATGGCATTTATAGCCTGATGTGGCAGAACTTAACCATGCACTGCATGGACAACAGGCTGTGGTTTGTTGTGAGCAACTCAGCTGATAAATTCACTTATCTGCAGGCACAAATCACTGTGGGCATTAGACAAGGCAGTGCTTTTAATAAATGCATGAACAGGCTCCAGTTTTCCCTTTTACTGCTGGGGGAGTCCCCTGTGGCAGCTCAGGTGTCAGTGGGGAGGGGCTGGTGCCTCTGTGGTGCTGGCATTGGTGAGTGACCCCTTGCAGAACTTGTGGGTTTGGGTTTAGTTTTATCTGACATATTTGCATTGCTGCATCCTAGCCTGTGTGTCCTTTCAACATGTTCTGAAAGCATTTGGTATCAAAACTGTCAGCTGGATTTGTCTTGGATTTCTAGCTCACATGTGGCAGTGTTTTGGTGTTGCAGGGCACAAACACCTGGAAATACATCCATAGATTAAAAAAAAAAAAACTTGAAACAATCTATGGACCTCTCATAGCTCAGTTTTAACACTGAAATTGTGAAATTGTGCTCATGAGGTGAAATCTTCTGATACAGGACCTTACTTTCTAGCCTGCTGAATTTCAATGCTTTCAAGTCTAGATTTCATCATAAGTTATCTCTGCTAGTAAGCTGGGTTTCCCAGAAGAACTCAATCTTGCATATTAAGATAAATTTTCCTGGTTTTTCTTTTCAGCTTTACCAACAGGGCCGCCTGTGCCAGCTGGGTAGTGAATTTTGTGAACTAGAAGTTTTTGCAAAGGTGCTACGAGCTTTAGATAAAAGGTGAGTATCTCAATAGCTCAATAATTCCCATTTCAACCCTCAATCTCCCCATCTAGGAAGAGATGTTGAAAAAAGGCACAAACAAGAAAAAGCAAACGATGCAAACCCCCCCAGTTGCTCAACACCAGAGGTCGTGCCCAGAGTCCCTGGGAGCAGCAGTCACAGCACCCACTTCCTGCTGGTTTAGCAAATCTGAGGGAAGCTGATAGGATTGCCCCGGTTTGAAGAGTTTCCCTGTCATTAAATATTCCAATTTGTGCAGTTACAGAACTTGACTGTTTTGGATCAGGTTCCGTGTGACCGGGATGAGCTTTGGGGCTTCAGGCCCTGGTCCTGCCCCTGGCTGTGTGATGTTAATGGAGCCTTCGCTGCTGCTTGGTCGGGAGTGCCGGGGGAGGGACGGGTTCGGAGCCTCCTCCCCGGTGCCTCTGAGCTGCAAACTCTCTGCAGTTTTGGTGCTGGTGTCTGGCTCCCACCGAGGGTGTCCCTGTACACAACTTGCTGTGGATCACCCAGAGCCTGGGGTCCATCAGCTGCAGCCTCACAGTGGGGCCTGCACTCATCTGCTTTGGGTTTGAGGGGGGCTTGGCCTTGATTTCTGTCCTTGGAATGCATGAGAGCCAACTGAGAGCTTTCAGACCCTGTGTGCAACCAATCTCTGCTTCTGTTTGTTGCAGACATCTGCTCCATCACTGTTTCCAGGCTCTGATGGACCATGGAGTCAAGGTTGCTTCTGTCCTGGCCTATTCCTTCAGCAGACGGTGCTCCTACATTGCAGAGTCAGATGCTGCTGTGAAAGAAAAAGCAATCCAGATTGGCTTTGTTTTAGGTAACTGCTGCTCATGGGCTCTTTGCTTTCTCTCTTGCAAGTTTCAGTTAATGTAACATTATTTTTTTCCTGTTAAAGATAAGCCTTTTGAAGAGCTGTGTGTTTCGGAATGGAAGTTTTAGAAAGCTACTTGGTGTCTTAAATATATTGGATTTTAATATCTAAGAATGTATAGACTTTTTAGTTCAAACTGTTTAGGTTTAAAATTAGTTTGAGGAATTTGCATGATTTTAGTGCAGGTAAGTTGTGGGGTTTTTTGACAGAAATGTAGGAAAACTCTGTAATACCAAAAAACCATCCTAAACCAAAGTATTATTTCCTTCAGCTGTAGGAGAATTCTCCTCTTACATTTCATTCTTTCCAGGTCAGGAGGGTTTGACCTTGACAGGATTTCTGTCTGTTGGAGCAGGTCCATGAAATAAGTGATCATCTTGTGAGACCTGAGCACACCCTTGTTCTCTTGAAAACGTGTTTTGCTCTTCATGCTGCTCTTTGTTGCTGATTTTTGCAGGGGGTTTCCTGTCAGATGCAGGCTGGTACAGTGATGCTGAGAAGGTTTTCCTTTCCTGCCTTCAGCTGTGCACCCTCCACGATGAAATCCTTCACTGGTTCCGTGCTGTGGAGTGTTGTGTGAGGTGAGCTCACCTTGAGTTCCCAGGAAACCTTGGAGCCATCCAGCTCCAGATGCTCCTTTAGTGTCCTGCTGCCCCAGAGCACTTTCCTGGCTACAGCTGAAGATCAGGAGGTGCTTGTTTTACACTAATCCCTGGATTTTCAGCTTCTGAGTTGGCAGCACAGCACAATGGATTAAAAACCCCAATGTTTTGCTATCCTGTGTAATCTCTCATGGGTAACACTGCTGGATAATAAGAGTGCTCCAGCAGTTCTTGTTTCCCAAGGATTTTTGCACGTGAAGGAATGTTCTGTGTTGGACTTTGCTGAAGTTCTATTAACTACAAAGAGAATTTGCCAAATCCAAATGCAAACAACGTAGATACAATTGAGCAGAAATAAAGGCAAAACTTCCCTTTCCTGATTCCAGATCCAGCAAGTTCTCTTGCTCCAGGCTGAGTGCTGAGCTCTGGGCCTGGGCAAGATCTGGGTGTCCAATTCCTGTGGGCACCTCTGGCCACAGCTGAGGTGGTTTTTTTTTGCTGTTAGAATTTTGAGCTGCCTTGTTCCTCAGGGCCTGCAGGGGTTCACATTTCATTGACAGAGCCTCTGTTCTCTTCCCCTGTGCATTGAGGTGTGATGGGCTGGCTTTTGTTGCTCTCACCATGACCAGGCTGTTTTTGCCTATTCCAGATGTGCCCATGGGCACCTGGAGGCTGCTGGGCAGAGTTCAAGTAGGATTTTTATTTTTTTAGCTGCTCTATCAAAGAACAAAGCATGTGCTGTATATTTATCTGAATCTAGAGCAAAACTTGTTTGGAAAGCTGCTCCAAAAAAAGCCCAGCATCTCGTTTATGGTTGGGCAAACATGAAGGGTAAAGAGGCTTTGCCAAGAGCTGCTGCTGTCCTGTGCCAGCCCCAGGGCCATGGCAACGCTGCTGTGCCTGGTTCTGCTGGCTGGCATTCCAGAAATGGTGCCAGGAGCCTGGGCACACAAATCCAGCTTCCTAGAACTGGGGAGTGATGGACACAGAGCCACAGCTACTGCTTGGTCCTTTGCCTTCTAATTAATCTAAAAAAAGTTTTCTTGTTACATCAGGCTCTTTGGCAAGCTGGAGAAGTTGCTTAAAAATAACTGTCACCTTCTGCAAATAGAAATGAAAAGAAGGGAAAGAAAGGGAGGGGAAAAGGGAACTGTCTCTGCTGGACAGTGGTGTGGAAAGGAGTTTTCATTCTGTGCAGGGAGAGAGCAGCCTGTGTTGGGATGAGCCCTCCTGACCCGGGGTGTTGGCTCTGTTGTTGGAGTCTTCCATTGTTCCCTGGGGAGCTCTGCTGGGACATCACCCCTCGGGGCACTGGGAAATGTTCTGGCATCTCCAAACCCTCAGCAGGGCTGGTTTGCAGTTGTACCAACCTGAAGGAACTCAAATGCTTTGGGAAGGGCTCAGTCTGTAAAATCTGAACACCTTTGTGTGGCAGAGAGCACTCATTGGACTCATTTTGCTGCCTTTCAGCTTGAGAAGAGTAAATGGTGCTGTAACCACCTGATCCCACTGAGGGAGGCTCTCACACTGAGCTTGCCCTGCAGCTGGGGGGAGTTTTAAGGAAACAGAATTGAAGTCCAGCTTTTGAAAGTGTGACACTTTCTTTGGCAAGTCAAACCTCTGGGAGTTGAATTAGTACACTGCAGTATTAATAGAACACAGATTAAAAACCTGTGAAGTTTTGTGTTATTTAAGCACAACTTGGTGTTTCCTTGTCCTGGCAGTGGTAAATTGTGTGGAGAAGCTGGGAGGGTGTGAGGTTTCTCTGAGCTTGTACCCTGCTTTTCTGGGAGTGTGGTGCTCCTTTGGTTTGCCCTCTCTTATTATTCTGTGTTACACCAAGAGGTCCAAGTGCATAACACAAATACGAGGCTCTCCCACTTCTTTGTTGCACATTTGGCTGATTCCTGGATTGTTTTCTTCTGGTGCTTTTAGACTTGCTAAGCTGCTGTGTTGGCTCTGAGTTTGTTGGGGGAGGTTATTCCCCAAAAGCTGTTATTGCAGACATCAAAGGAGGTTCAGAGCCATTAGCATAAACGTCCTGAGGCCTTTTCTCTTCCTCTTGGCTTTATCTCCTAAGATTCCTTTGGATTAATAAAGGATTTTTTGTTACTCAGAACTGGATCACATAAACTCTGCTTATCCTAGAGGATTGGCTTAGGTTTAGCTTGGGTTTTGGGGAGATTTCTTTGTTTCTAGACACTGTCACTGAAGCATCCAGACACTGGCTGATATGATCTTTCCCAGGAGCTTATCTAAATTGCAGTGCTATCCCCACTGGCTTATTCCATTACATGGGATTTGGGCTCCGTGGTTTTGATGTTGCAGAGCAGCTCCCAACTGAATGGTGTTGGCAAAATGGTTTTTTTCTCTTTAGGAAAACTGTTTACTTAATTCTTCTCTCGTTTCTTTATCATTCCTGTCTCTTGTTGCTGGAATGTTCCTGTGACCAGGCACACAATGCACTTGTACATCGTGTTTGGTTCTGAGGCTTTATTTAAGGAAAAATGTGGGTGTTGCTTTTTGCTGTCTTGTTGTTGAGCCACGGTGCTGGTTCCCACTGGAGAGCTGGAATCTGTGTAGCTTTTGCAGGGTTTTGAAGGGCTTTTCTTTTGATGTTCTCTTTGTGCAGCAAATCCACATCTGCCCTGTGCCCGCCTTCAGGCCCTGCTTAGGAAAATGGAGATTTTATTTCTTTTCTTGTTACTGTTGGAGTTTGGTGATGCATTTGGGTGGGAAATGGAGGGGCAGTGTTGGACAGGCAGCTCTTAGGATGAGCTGAGCTGTATCACTGGGGGAATGGCTGCAGTAGCTTAAATCCCTATTTGGAGCAAGTGGAAACAGGTTTAGAAAAGAAATTGAGCAACAATTTCCTTGTTTGCTCCTTCCCCTTTAACAATTGATTGGAAGTTTTATCCCAATGTTTGATATCAGGACTAAAATGCAGCTCCTGCACAGTCAGAGTTTGAGCCTCTTTGCAATGCAGCTTCACTTTGTGCTTCCCTTCCCTGTGTGCAGTTCTCCCTGTGCTGTGTTGTCCTGATTTCCCAAGCCTTGCCTGCTGTGTTCAGTCTCTGTTACTCACTGCCTAATGACACATTTCCAGCAGGGACAGTGGAGGTTAATTCACCACAATTCCATGTCTGCTCACTGGCAGGTGTTTGCCATGGAGCAGGAGCAGCTGCCCTGGCTGGGAATCCAGCTCTGCCCTTGGGGCTTGGAATATCAACACACGCCCATTCCAAATGCACCTCGTTAAACCAGCGAGCATCAGCCTGCACTCATGCACAAATTCTTTGCTTTTATTTGTAACAAGTGCCACAAGCTGGAACTGTTACTGCTCTGGAGAAACAGGAGGAGGTGTCACCAGTGCTGGGTGGTACTGGCTGTGTTTGGGTGTCCATCCTGCAGATGGGAAGGCAGCAGGATAGGAGAGGGAAGGGCAGGGGATGTTTGAGTTGTTGTGATCAATGAAATGGTCTCTCCTGATGGAGCTGGTTCTCATGTGGAATGGATGTGCCTTAATTTTACATGAAAACCTTCCCCAAGCCCCAAAGCACAAAAATGCCCACTTGGAGCTACTCAGGGTTTGGAGGGAAAGTGCAGGGATGCAGGAGAATGAGCTGTGTTGTACTTACTGTGGCTGCTTGGGGCTCCACCCTTTGGGAAAGAGGTGCAAGGGATCTCAGGCTGTGTAGGGCAGGGCTTTGGGAACGGAATCTCATCACTATTGGGAAGAATGAATTTCATGGAAAATAACACTCAAAGGCCCCACACCAGAGCGGTTCAATGCATTCTGTATCAATGGGTAAAATCCTTGGGCATCTCCAGCAGGAGAAGCTCCTGCCCTGTGCCCAGCTGTGTGTGACTGACCCAGGCAGGGCAGCTGTGCTGGGCTGGCAGAGCTGCAGCCCTGCGAGTGTCACTGAGAGATCCCTGGTGCTGCTGCAGGCAGAGCTTCTCCAGCTCCCTCAGCAGCTCTCTCTGATCCCCCAAGGTTGCTGCACGTCCGCAATGGGAACTGCAAGTACCACCTGGGAGAGGAGACCTTCAAGCTGGCGCAGTCCTACATGGACAAGCTGGCCAAGCACGGGCAGCAGGCCAACAAGGCGGCGCTCTACGGCGAGCTCTGCGCGCTGCTCTTCGCCAAGAGCCACTACGATGAGGTGAGGCCCTGGGGCTCCTGGCACCTCCTGCTGGGCCTCACTAGCCCTGGCTCTGCTCTCCTTGGCACCTGGGTGGCACTGCCTGAGTGATAATTCATTTATCCACTCTTGTTTCCGTGGGTTGTTCTGTGTTGGGCTATGAGCTCTTCACAGCGCTTGGACCAACGTGAACATGCAGGTGTTGCCTTGCCTATACATGTTGGTCACCTGTAAATGAAATATTATAAAAGCTTGTTTTAATAATTGAAAATGAATAGCAGAACCTGGTTTGTTAAACTCTGTGTGAAGTGTAACTACTCCATAAACTGGTTTTCCTTTAATCCCTAAGTTCACTGACAGGGTGTTGTCCTGCACAATGGGAATTGTGAGGATTTCTTAAAGATTTTATAATACCCTCTTCTGTCTGTAAAAGTCATAGTAATATAAACCTTAGATTAATATAAAATACTTACATATTCACTATTTACCTTAAAAGTGTTTTTTAAGTCTGTCTTTTGAGACATAACTGGACAATTCATTACACATAAGCACTCCAGCTGCATATTTTACATTTTGGAATGTAAATGATCAGCTTTTCAGAGGTAATATTTTAATGTTGCAATGTTGTGAAGTTCCAGCTTCCATTGTGCTGCTGCCTCTCTGTCCCACAGGCCTATAAGTGGTGCATAGAAGCCATGAAGGAGATCACAGTTGGGCTGCCTGTGAAAGTGGTGGTGGATGTGCTACGACAAGCGTCAAAGGTGAATCTGAAATCTCCCCTTTGCTTTGGGTACTAAATCAGTGCCAAGGATGGCTGAGGAGAGGTTGTTACCTCCAGAATTCTCCTCAGGGGCCCTAAGGGTTGTTGTTTGTGTTTGTCTCAGAATGGGTGGGGGAGTTTGTTTCTGTTTGTGTCTCTCTGAAATGGAGTCAGAGCTGCACGGGTGACCATTGTGACAATGTTAACCTGTGAACTTCCCTGGAAGGGCTCTGGTCCCTCTTTGGTCTGAACTAGGTACAGCACAATCCCTTCAGCCAGGCAGGATAAAATGGGAAGTTTATTAATGCTGTGCTCCTTTTCCCAAAGAGCCAAAAAGTCCTTTAGTAACCACAATGATATTTTGGAATTGAAGCCAAGAGTAAGTGTGGCAGTGTCTGGGGAGCTGAGCTGAGAGTGCTCAGCTGCTCACGTGCTTCCCCTCCCCTGCCAGGCCTGCGTGGTGAAACGGGAGTTCAAGAAGGCAGAGCAGCTCATAAAGCACGCTGTGTACCTTGCCAGGTAAGGGCATTCCAGAAAAACCCTTCTAAAATTGTCCTCAGCTGGCCTCAGTTTGTGATGGCAGTGTGTTTGTGCAGGGAGCATTTTGGAGCCAAGCACCCCAAATACTCTGACACGCTACTAGACTACGGATTTTACTTGCTCAACGTAGACAATATCTGCCAATCTGTTGCCATCTATCAGGTAGGCAGCAGGGCTTGTTTCTCTTGGTGGTTTTCATCTCTCAGATGTTGTAGTTAATTCATGAAGATAGAGAGTAATTGGTTTCTGCAGTTGTGATGTTTTAAAAACCCTGAACACTGCCAGCTGTGGGGTTTTGCTTTCTTTGTCTTCCTCTGACTCCTGTCTTTTATATAACTAGTGTCTCAAATATGTAGAGGATTTCAGAGTCAGTAGATTCATCATAGGGATGAATTTGGGGGTTTCTTTCTGTGTAAACTTATGAAGTTGTGGTTTTGGAACCCTTGCAGACTGCGCTCGATATCCGGCAGTCGGTATTTGGAGGTAAAAACATCCACGTAGCTACAGCTCATGAAGACTTGGCTTATTCCTCATATGTTCACCAGTACAGCTCTGGGAAATTTGACAATGCACTGTGAGTACAGCACACAGCAGCACAGTTAGTGCTGTAAATGGAGAAAAATGTTCATTGCATTAATATTTCTAATTTTTCATTGGTCAACTGCTGGCATACATAAACAGAGCCTGAATTTTTTATTTCACCTCTCCCAGATTCCATGCTGAACGTGCTATTGGCATTATCACTCACATTCTCCCAGAAGACCATCTCCTCTTGGCCTCTTCAAAGAGAGTTAAAGGTAGTTCCCTTTGTTGTTTGAACCATTTGGTTGTGCTCATCCTGGTTCCTCCCAGGCAATGCAGTTTGAGTTGCCTGTTTCAATGGAGGTGTTTGTAGCCCTTGGTGTTTACAGCACACTCGTAAAACACAAAAGAAAAATCCAGAATTCAGCCAGATGAGTTGGAGTGGGGGGATGAAATTGCAGAATATAAAAATGTGTTGGGAGCTTGACACAGCAGGGTGACAGCAGTTGGTGACAGACACAGAGCCCGGTGGGCTGTGTCCCCCCAGGTGGGTCCCTGGCTCTGAGCTGGGTGTGGGCACAGTAACAGTTCCTGTCTCCTGCCCCCAGCACTTATCCTGGAGGAGATTGCCATAGACTGTCACAACAAGGAGACAGAGCAGAGGCTGCTCCAGGAGGCTCATGACCTGCACCTCTCCTCGCTCCAGTTGGCTAAAAAAGCCTTTGGGGAGTTCAACGTGCAAACAGCCAAACACTACGGCAACCTGGGCAGACTGTATCAGTCCATGAGGAAGTTCAAGGTAAGGCTTTACTCCTGACCTGAAATCTGCTGAAATCTGAAAAGACCAAGGTTTCAGGCTGAAAGACAGCTGAAATCTGTTACTGCAAATGATGGCTTTCAGTGTCCACAATTCCCAAGTTCAGTTGCTAGTTCTGTGCTTAGAAAACTTGTGCTTTATCATTCACCCCAAAAGCTTTGTGCAAAAACAACCCATGGAGATGAGTGATAACCTCAGAGGGTGACAGGGAGCTTGGTGCTGTGATCTGCTGTTCCACTTCACTAAAGAATTTGGAGAACTTGGTTTATGTTTTTGCCTGTTACAAAATGCTGCTGTTTGAGCTGCTACATAGTTCAGTTGATTTAAACTGACTTTCCCCTCTTTCTATGGGGTGGTGAGTGGTGTCTGACTGACCTGTGTGACTCTGGCCCTGACAGGAAGCAGAGGAAATGCACATCAAGGCCATCCAGATCAAGGAGCAGCTCCTAGGGCAGGAGGATTATGAAGTTGCCCTCTCCGTGGGCCATCTCGCCTCCCTCTACAACTATGACATGAACCAGTATGAAAATGCTGAAAAGCTTTATCTGAGATCCATAGCAATTGGTAAGTGACTACAGGAAACTTAAGTTAAAGTTCTTAGAAAATAACTTGGTTGTTAATCTCTAGACAACATTCTGTGGCTAGAACATGAGTGGAGAGTATAGGCAGGTTTTCTTGCTAAAAATAACCTGATAACTCAGCTGCAGCCCGTGGAGATCTTGCCTCTCAACTCAGTTTTTCTCTTGGGTTTCTCTAGGAAAGAAGCTTTTTGGTGAAGGATACAGTGGACTTGAATACGATTACAGAGGTCTCATTAAACTGTACAATTCCATTGGCAATTATGAGAAGGTGTTTGAGTACCACAACATTTTGGCCAACTGGAACCGGTTGCGGGACCGGCAGTTCTCGGTCACGGATGCGCTGGAGGACGTCAGCACCAGCCCCCAGTCCACGGAAGAAGTGGTCCAGTCTTTTCTGATGTCTCAGAACCTCGAGGGACAGAGCAGCTAAGAACTTGGTCAATTAACCAGTTAAGGTTTTTTCCCCCAGGTTACAGGGGGAAAAGTCATACTGTGAAACCTAAACCATGTAGTTCTCTGGGGGCTGGAATTTGCGTTGAAACACTGGTCCAGTCTACTGAAGAGTGCCCATACGGATGAATGTGTGTTAAATTCCTCTCAGCATGTGTATGGCATGTTTAGTTCGGCTCACATTTTTAACTTGGTATTCCCAAAAAACCCCCTTCTTTCTCTCTTCTTTCAAAAGAAGCTACTTTGCAGAAAGTCTGCAAGAAAACATTAAATAAAACTGTTTGAGTTCAAAAGAGTTGCATTCTTATTATGGATGGAAGGTTTCATCGAGAGCTTTCTGCCGATTCACAGAGAGAACAAAAGCTGTACTCTGAGGAGCTGTAGGAGAAAGGTCTTGCTGCTGTATCATTGTAGCAAAGTTTATGGTAAATAGCCAGCAAAGGGAGGATGTGCTGGCCTTGGCTGCTGCCTTACCAAGAGAAGTGGCAAAGACCCACTCTGGAGAGCACCATCTGCTCATTGAGTGCCACCTGTGCTGTTGTGGATGCCCTGAACTGGACCAGTACAGATCCCACAGACCAGCAAGCACAGTGTCCTCAGTGCCACCACCAGTGCTCCCCTGAGCAGGACCAGGACACCACGGTGGACCAGCCTGCTAGAAACCGGTTTTGGACCAGTGGCTTTAATTTAATATTTCTGCCCCTGCATTCACTTTGACAGTAGAACTCTCTCATTTAGGTGTCTGATCAGTGCAAACGATATCCATGTGATAGATCCAGAGCTAGGAAGTGAATTGATGGTTTGTCTGTACCCAGTGAGCTTCTGCAGAGATTCCTGGCAGTGCCACAGCTCCACCCGCTCCACTCTGCTGCAGCCACTCCTCCTTCCCTCTCCCGTGGGCTCTTTCTTGCTAACAGAGGCCATACCGTGTCCATACCAGTGAAGAGTTTTGTATTCCAGTCCAGTTCCATTTTCTGTTTCTGGAGAACACAACTTACTGTACAGGTCGCAAGGGTCAGTGAAAAATGCCAAAAAGCACAACAGGTCTTTCTTTTTTGTGATGCTTCATTTCTACATTAAATAAGAGTACAACCAGAAACCGATTCCTTACGTTAATTTACGAAGCAGAGCTCAGCTGGACAGACCCTCTGAGAATGCCTCTCTCACTTGTCTTAATTCTTCTGTTGGGGCCGTGTGCTTCTGTGGGTTCGGGTGTTGCTTTGGGCTTTGTTTTATTTCCTGCTGTTGGGTAAGATTTGCAAGTCTGTGTGACACAAACCAGAACTGACTCGCTGCTGTTACCTCAGCTGTGCCCTGGATCTGGGGTTCTGTGGGTTCTGTCACTTTGGGGGTTTCTCTCCTCCTCTTTTCAGGGTTTGTACCTTGGCCAGGGCTCGGCCGGCTATTCCCAAGGGCCTGGGGCTGGATGTTCTTGAGGTCTGGTTTTCTCTTGGTTTATGGGCTTTGTGGCAGGGAAAGCTGCTGGATGATCTTCAGGGAAGAAAGAAATAGAGGTTTTGGACATGACTTGGAGCTTAATGGCTCTTCTAAGAAGTGAAATTTTACAGACCAATAGTTCATATTCTGGTGCCTTCAAGTGTTTTATTTTTGGGGGGAAAGGCTGGGTAATATCAACTTTAAAATGCAATGACATAATTAGTGAATGCAGATTAATGATTGCATACTTAGAATATCTTCACTGAGGTGAAAAGAAGTATTTGCATAAAACCCCCTGTGGTATTAGGACTTAACTGCAGTGTGTCTGCAACAGCTGCTCAGTGAAAATCCAACTTCGTTATGTGTGGATTTAAAATGTGATTTATTTATAGCAGTTTTTGTTTATGACTGTGTAGGAGCTACAGACAAATTCAGCTATACAAGGCAAAACCTTCACCCTGAATGCCCACGGCACTGACAAGTTATAAAGTTCTTATGAGTTCTTAAATCCTTTTAAAAGGTATTTAAAGTTAAACAAAGTGTGTAACACTGTCAGGATGTGGGCAGGAATGTGGCTTAAAGCTGTCCTAAAGAACCTGAGTGATTCTGTACTGCAGAAGTGCTGGGGCTCCCAGCTGGGTCCAGGGGTTTACACTGACCTGGGCTGGAGCTCCTTTACCCACTCTGTGTTCCCAGTCCTGGGGTCTCCAGCTTTTGGCTGAGGAGCCCCAAGGTGTGTTTGGGGTGGGGAGCATTGTTAGACTGACACCTGGCACTGGCCTGCCTGAGGCACTGCTCCTCTTCCAGCCCTTGTGTCCCTGGTTGTGCTTTGCCTTCAGGGCAGGGCAGCTCCTGGTGTGGGCAGCCTGCGCAGGAGCTGTGCCTGCCCTTGGTTTGTTGGTGGCCCCGGTCCCAGCTCTGGTGGCTGTTTTGTGTCCTTCCCCAGTGCTGGCAGGAAGGGAAGGAAGCTCCTAAAGCTCCCTGGGAGCCCCTTTGGCAGAGCACTTGCCCAGGGGCTGTTGTGGTGATGCCTGAGGGCTCCAGGGGCTCCTCCTGTGCCTGCAGGGAGTCCTGCCTGGGGCTGAGCTGCCCTGCAGCTCCAGGGCAGGTCCCTTCTGCAGCAGCGTGGCTGTGGCTGATTGCTGACACTGCTGGGGCACAGGGGTTGGCAGGATGATGCTGCAGCTGCCTGGTGGGGACAGCTCTGTTCCCCTGCTCAGGACCTGCATTTGTGGCTGGGACAGCACAGGAGTGACCCCGTGGGGGTTTGGTTCTGTGTTGGCACCTGGAGCCTGTCTGGGATGCTGTGCTGCTGCTGGTTCTGCTGCTCTCTCTGCTCTGTTTGTTTGGTGCTGGTGAGGAGTGGGAAGCTGCTGGGATGGCGCCAGAGGCAGGTAAAGGATTCCTTGGGGTGGATCTTGCAGCGTGAGCCCCACTGTGCCCTGGCAGAGCTGCAGGCAGGGCCTGCAGTGCCCTCTGTTCCCTGGGGGTTTTCCTGCACCCCGTGGCTCCTCTCTCCCCTCCTGCCATAGCCCAGGGCAGGTTTTCCATCCCAGCTGGGTCAGTACCAGGGTGGGGGCCTGGCAGGTGGAAGATCCATCCAGGAAGGAATGGTTGGCATTTCCAGACACAAAGGTGCCCACGCAGGGGCTGTGTGCTGCTGGCAGTGAAAGGGCAGAGCTGGGAGTGGGAATCCTGTGAAATGCATCCTTTCCTTGAAGGTGAGTAAAGGAATCACCCCAGAGTCCCTGGGGAGCGGTGAGCACGGGTGTTACCTTAAGTAAATTATTTTCACTGTTGATGAAGTTAAACCCTCAATGTTTGACTTTGTGTGAGGTTGTTCGGGTCAGTGAGGGGGGAGTTTGCTCGAGGTGCCATTGCTGCTTCTCGTGGTACAAAATGCACATTGAAGTTGGTTCCCTTTTCAGTCCTGGGTGAGGGAGAGCACAGGAGGGAAAACTGACCGTGCCTCAAAGGGGGGGAGCTGTTGGCCAGGCCTCCCTCGGGTGATGTGGATGGGCTGGACTCGGGCAGGGCAGGGCTGCTGGTACCAACCTTTCAGCAGATCCTTCCTTCTGCTGCCTGTGCAGAACCTGATTTTATCTGCAAGTCCTTGTTCCCTTATCAGATAATTCCTGGCCAGTGTCAGTTCAAAGCTGCCTCTGCGTTGTGGGGGGTGTTTGACACTCCTGGCCTGGGGCCCTTGAGCCACTGGGCCCTGGGAGGGCTTTGGGGAGAAGTGGGGAAAATTTCCTTTAGAAATAAACTCCAATAGCTACAGAGAATTGGCAGCACTGGGAATGCTGTTGTCCCTAAATCTCAGGAACGTTTTGGGCAGTGACACAGGTGTCCCTGGGTGTGTGAAGTGTGTGCTCTAGGGTCTCGTATTCCACTACTCCTTGCAATCCTCGGTATCTATAGCATGAGTGGCCTTAGTGAGTTTGTTGAAGTGCACATTTTTTTTTTTTCTTTTCAAAAGTAAATTTTAAGATGAAAAAGATATATACTATATAAATATATAGAGCTATTTAGAAACTTGGTTTGTGGTGCACAAGTTCAGTGTTGGATCGCTAAATACTCGTCGCAGGTACCATATGTGTAACTTTTCTTTTCTGTATATTCCTTTCTGGGAAGCAATGTTGCCATGGTAACTACAACTTTACAATTTCTTTACTACTTAATGATGTGAATGAATTCTACATTTTATTGAATATTACCAGGTTCAGTACTATTTTTATACTTTATTGAACTACAGGGGATTTTAATTTAATAGCATTAAAAAAAAAAGAAAAGAGAAAAAGATGTTGCTTGAACTGTATAACTGTATAAATTGAACTAATTACACAAACCCACCTCTAAACCAGAATCTCCACCTGTAGTGCCACGTTCATTTATATAAAAGTATCTTGCTCATTACCAGACCCTGCAGCCCCTCCCTGTGTGTCAGGATGAAGGTCCCCCCCCACCTCTCCTGCCATCCTCTGTGCCCACAGAGCCATCCTATGTTTGTAACCAGCATTGTGATATTCTGTAACTTCTGTATTGCTCAGATGAAATATTGACCTAATAAATGGAGTGTTCCCGCAGCCTGGAGTGCCTGCAGTGAATTGGTTACAGCTGCCCTCCCTCAGAGCCTGTCCTTGCCAGGGAAGGTGAAATCTCTGCCTTTGGGGTAAATCCTCATGGATGGGGCTTGTGTTGGTACCTGTGCACTGTGGACAGGGGGAGCCTGGGGTACTTGCAGGATGTGGATCCTGCCCAGATCCTTCCCTATTCTTGGGTTTTTTCCCCCTAAAGTAGCCATGGGAACACAAATTCTCTCCTGCAAGTGTGCACTGGCAGCACCAGAGCATCTCATGTGGCTGCCTGAGCACAGAGTGGGTGAAAAGTCAGCATTTCTGGGGGTTTTTATTTTTAAACCATCAGGTTTTTGTGTGACCTGCAGCTGCCCAGCTCTGCAGAGGCCTCCCCTGGTCTCACAGGGCTGAGATTTCCATTTTTAAAGGCAAAATGCCCTGGAACTCTCCCCTGGCTCTGAGAGCCCAGGTCAGGCCCAGGCTCACGAGGGGGACCCCAGAGTCCCTGGGGCTGAGGCAGTGCCAGCTCTGCTCCTGTAGCCTGAATTCCAGGGTGGAAATGGATATCCCTGGGTGTCTGGGTGTGCTCCTGCAGCTTTCTCAATTCTTCCCCAGGGAAATGACACTGGGGAGTGCTGGATCCAGGCTGCCAAGAAAAAGCCAACAACAGCAGACTCCAAAGTAATTCTGTTTGCTGGGGTAAAGGAAGAATTAACAGCAGCAACCCTGAAACGTCTGCCCAGGTGAAGGGGAAGCTGAGGTATGAATGAGGCTGTTCTGCTGATTCTGGGGGAGAGCAAGTCCAGCTGCCTCTGCCATCTTCTAAAACCCAGCAGCAGGAAAGGCAATCCCTGTAACATTGCATCCTGTGGTTAATTCCAAACGTTTTCTGATCCTACTTGGAGCAGGAACCCCTGAAGGTGAAACTTTCCTCTTTGCCACCTGGTCAGGAAACTGAGGTTGGGGTTAGGTTAGGCAGAGCTCAGTTTTCCTTGAGAGCTTTCCTGTCACTTCTAAGTCACCTCAAGTCCTACTGGAAAAATGTGGGATAATCCAAGTCCTGAGCAGCCTTGCTGAGTTCCCTCTTAAACCAGTGTGACACTTTGAGGGCAGACAGCGTTTCCTAAGGCAGCCTCAGGCATTCCTGCATTGGGTTCACCTTTAGCTGGAGGCATTATTCTGTTATCCAGGGAAAATTCCTCAAGATCCAGCTCTGCACCACCCAAGTGTCTGCTCTGCTGCCTGGGAGGGTGAGACACAACAGCCTCCCACAGCCTCTCAAGGGCAGGGCCAGCACAGACAGGAATCCCGGGCCCCTGGCCAGGTCTGGGGATGGGATCCACGTTTAAAAAGGAAATTTGTTGTCCTGATTCTGAGAATGGTCTCCCAAAGGAATCTAGGAGGGTTTTTCTTGGGTTCAGAGGTGAAGGCAGTAACTGAGCCCCCACCCAGCTCTCCCATTCCAGCATGTGGGAGTGAAGGATCTTTGGAGTTTTGTTGGTCAGACTGAAAGATTGCTGGGACAAATCATTGATATTTCTGGTGTTTCCTTAAAACCTGGATTGATCTATGAATCAAATGTGGCCGACCCCAAAGCCCAGCCAGAGTCATCCAGAATCCCAGAACCATTCAGGTTGTTAAAAACCTTTGGGATCATCAAGCCTAGTGGTGATCCAGCCCTGCCAAGTCCCTGGAAGAGGAATTTCTGCCCCAGCAAGGAAAGGAGCAGCTGCTGCTTCCTCCAGAAGCTGCTCTTCTGTGACTGGGGTTTGTACAAAAGGAATGATGTGCTGAAGGTAGGTCTGGTACTTGCAGAGCCTTCATCCCATCCTGGTGTCAATGCACAAGTGTAAGGGATCTCCAGGATCATCATAAATAAGATCCTATGGTCTAAAAGAACAGGATTTTCATTGGGCTGGAGCTTGTTGCTATGACACTACAAGAATTGCAGGACTTTGTGGTTCTGGGAAACCATGGAGACAGTCTGGATTCCCTGCTCTTGCTCAGGTGAGGATGCTATACTCATTCATTTCCATCGCCCTCTCTGATGGTGTTTGGGAACCTGAAAAACCCCTTAAAGTGACTGGAAGGCAGAGCTGATCCTGTGAGCCCCAGTCTGTCCCCTGGGGGTTTGGCTGGGTGGCTTCTGCATCCCACAGCTGCCTTGGCACCGGGAGTACCGGGAGCAGCAGAGCCGGGGCTGCCTGCAGGGCTCTGGGCACCGAGCAGTCCCAGCCCCAGGGGATGCTCCTGGCACTTCAATCGCGCTGATCTGGGCCGTTCCAGGGCTCGGTGTCTCTGGTGCCTCTCTCTCGGCAGGAATTGCCTGGAATTTGCCCAGCCCTGCGGGAGCAGCCAGGCGGGGAGGATGGCCCGGAGCCGTCAGGGCACTGAGGGAGGGACTCCTGCTCAGCCTCCCGGATCACCTTGTCTGGCAGCTCTTGAGTTTTGACTTTTAGTTTAACTCTTTATATTTAATAGCTCCCTCTGAGCTGTTACAGACTGAATTGGACATTTCAGAGGTAAAGAGAGAGACTTTGGGGAGAAAAGAGACAAGAAATGAGCTGGTTCTGAGTGCCTGAGAACTCCCACAGGACATGTGGCAGTGTTTTAGCAGCTAGAAAATGGCTTTATGTGGGACAGAGCCTCCTTCCCGGGCACCCGTTTGTGGCAGAGCCGGTGCTGCCAGCAGCTGCCTCTCCCATCCCTGTCTCATTCCACCTCCGGGGTGTGCAGGTGCTGGAGTAACCAGTGCAGGGACTGGGAGGCACAAACGCCCCTGCTACAGGTCGGGCTGCATTTTTGCTGGGGAAGACAAACGTGTGGCTGGGCTGGGGTGGGCCCAGAGCAAACCACAACTATGCTGGAGCATCCAGATTGCAAGGTAGGGACGCCCTAATTGCCAGCAGCTGACAACAAAGCCGTGGCTCATTCCTCCCTCCCTCCCTGGCTGGAGCAGCTCCTCCAGCTGCTGCTCCCGGGTCTGGGACAGGAGCTCAACCTGCCCAGCTCCCCCAGCACTGAGCCCATCTGCACCTGCTCATCTTTCTGTAAAAATTCCGGGTGTAAAGGCTCTGTGTGAGCAGGAGAATGTTCACCCTGCTTGGTGGCAGTGTGACAGTGGCTGTGTGAGAGCCTCACCTGTCCCTGCTGGGCGGTGACCTGGCAGGTCTTGGAGGTGACAGTGTCTTTTACCTGGCTGTTCCTGAAGGGACAACTGCTTTAAAGCTGCTTCAACCTTTCCTGTGAGTTCTGGAACCAACTCGGTTGTTCTGAAGGACAGCAGGATTACTTAAACAAAAAAGAAGGAACATAAACGCACGTTCAGAGGTGTTAACGTGAACGAGCACCACGGGCTGACTCACGCTTGGGCAGCAGCTCTTGCTTAACCGGGGTCCCGTGGGGCGGGAGCAGCAATGAGCTGAGGGCTGCCTGCTCCCGCCCCTGTGCTGGGTTTGTCGCTGCAGGGCACCGGGGGCTCCAGGCCGTGCTGGCAGTGCCAGTGCCGCCCGTGCTGTCCCCGCTGTCCCCGCTGTCCCCGCTCCCTGGGTGCCGCCCTGCCCGCTCTGCCCGAGCACCTCGCGGCGCGTTCCAAGCCCAGACGTTTCCCGGCCCGGGGCATTGGCATTTCCCGGGCTCTGCGGGCGCTGCTCGGTGCCTGCGCTTCGGCCGGGGTGCGGATGGGTGCGCGCTGCCGCTGGATGTCACTGTCGCCGTGTGGCACCGGGGGTGGCGCTGGGACCCTGCGCCCAGCAGGGTGGGACGGGGAGCTGCGCATCCCCTGGGCAGTCCCTGGGGATGAAGAATCTCCTGATGCCAGAGGTCACGCTTGGATTTTAGATTTTGTTTGACCAGACGCTGGCAGGGTCTCCGAGAGCCCAGGAGCCCGATTCCTTTCCGAGGCTGATTTCTGCGGCTTTCAGCCACGTACAGGAGCCAGGAGAGGGCACAGGATTCTCTGTTCTAGCTCGGAGCTGAGAATCGGAGCTGGGATTTTCACCGAGTGTAAAAAAAGAGCTGGGACCAGAGTTTAATTTTTTAAATTCAGATGTGTGTGGCTTTTTGGTTTATTAATTTTATTACGAAATTATATTAATACCAATTTAAATTTTTAATTAAAAAAGCCTAGAATCCCTAATGCTGAGTAAAAGGGATGTAGATCCCTCATTTTAGATGACTGATGAGCAAGGCTGGTGGATGGCTGCCCACTGGCCTCTCTCCTTAACAAAACCCCCAAAATTATCAAATGACCGTGCTGACAACCTCAATCCCTTAAAATTAAATATTGATCCCGTATTTTTCTGTTGACTCATGCGAATCGGGAGGCGTTTCCAAGGCATCTCTTTCTGCTGCTCGGTGCCGGTGCCCCCCGGAGCCGGAGCCTGTTGTTTGTGTGGAGCAGGGAGCCGAAAATGCTGATTTTTCTCCCACTTGTCTTGCATAACAAAAGGCGTTTGTCACCCGTTACATAACGGCGGCGTTTGTCGCTGCTCCCGCTGGCCTCTCCCAGCCCGGCCTCGCTGGATGCTCCTCAGTGTCCCCGGAGTCCCCTGGGGCTGATCCTGCACCCAGCTCCGGGCCTGGCCTTCATTCCCTCCTTGCATGGGAAGATGCGGAGCTGTGGGGTTTGCTGGTGGCTTTTTAGGGAGCAAAAGGATTGGGAAGGTGTTTGGGGGATTTTTTGCTTTTTAATGCTCATTTGAAGGCACAGTGGGGTTTGTCCTTAGCTGAGGTGGTGTCCCAGGCCTGCAGGAAGGGCTGTGCTGGAATGGAGCTGGGTTCCTCTCTGCAGCCCTCCCAAGTTTCAGGAGCATCTGTCACCACCTGCCAGCTGCTCCTTTAGTGCCTCTCCTTTAATCTCAGGTGTCTCTGCTACCAGCAGGAATTTGGGTTTTTCTTTACCGCAGTTTTCATTCCCTCCTGGGTGGAATATCTGCTTGGAGCCTTAGAAAGAAAGAAATGGTTTTGTTTCCCCAGGAACTAAAAGCAAAAGCTGGCTGGCTTCCCCT